TGTCACAAATGGCAGGATTTTTTCTCTTTCTAAGCCTAAATAGTATATATATTATTCATAATATATATAATATTAACGATACTATATATATCACAATATATCCTCACCATCGATGGACACTTAGACAGTTACCATGTCTTGGCTATGGGGAATAATACTGCAATGAATGTGAGAGTGCAGATACCTCTTTGAGGGACTGATCTAATTTCTGAATTATTACCCAGAAGAGGGATTGCTGGATCCTATGGTACTTCTATTTTTTAATTTTTGAAGAACTTCCATACTGTTTTTTATAATGGCTGTACCAATTTGCATTTCCACCAATAGCGTGCTAGGGTTCCCTTTTTTCCACATCTTCACCAACAGTTATCTTTCATCTTTTTGATAATAGTCATTCTAACAGGTGTGAGGTGATATTTCATTGCAGTTTTGATTTGCATTACTCTGATGATTAGTAATATTGAGCACATTTTGTTTTTTTTTTTTTAAAGCACGTTTTAAAGTACCTGCCTTCCACTTGTATGTTTTCTTTAAAGAAATGTCTATTTAGGTCTTTTGCCCATTTCTTAGTCAGATTGTTTGCTTTTTTGCTATTGAGTTGTATGAGTTACTCGTATATTATAGATATTAACCCTTTGTAAGATATATAGTTTGCAAATATTTTCTCTAATTTCATAGCTTGCCTTTTCATTTTGTTGATTATTTCTTTTGGTATGCAGAAGATATTTAGTTTGATATACTCTTATTTGTCTAATTTTGTTTTTGTTGCCTGTGATTTTGGAGTCATAACCCAAAAGTCATTTCCAAGACCAATTTCAAGGAGATTTTTTCCTACGTTTTCTTCTAGGAGTTGTGTGGTTTCACCTAATATTTAATTCTTAAATACATTTTGAGCTATTTTTGTAAGTGGTATAAGATGAGGGCCCAATATCATTTTTTGCATGTGGATATACAGTTTTCCTAGGACCGTTTGCTGAAGAGACCGTGTCCTTTCGCTATTGCATATTCTTGGTGCCCTTGTTGAATATTAGTTGACTGTATACATGTGGTTCACTTCTGCATTCTAGTCTGGGGCTCTGGACAGGCCAGCTAGTAGCGACCTTGGTCACTTAGCAGTTTTTGGTAGGATCTTTAGGGTTTTCTATATATAAGAACTTGACGTCTGACAACAGGGACAATTTAATTTCTTTCTTTTTAATTTAGATGTGTTTAATTTCTTCCCCTTGCCTAATTGCTCTGTCTAGGACTTCTGATACTATGTTGAATAGAAATGGCACATCCTTATACCACATCCTTGCCTTGTTCCTGATCTGAGAGAAAAAACTTTTAACTCTTCCCCATTGAGTATGATGTTAGCTATGGGTTTGTCATGTATGGCTTTCATTGTATTGAGATAAAATATTTCTAAATCTAATTTTTCGAGAATTTTTATTATGAAAGAATGCTAAATTTTATAAAATGCTTATTATGAATCTATTGAGATTATCACATTGCTTTTGTTCTTTATTCTGTTAATGGTGTGTATCACATTTATTGATCTGTGTAGGCCGAACCATCCTTGCATCCCAGGGATAAATCTCACTTCATTGTGGTGTATGATCCTTTTAATGTGTTGCTGAATTCATTTTAGTTACAAACATTTTGGTTACATAGTATGCCTTTGCATCACCCAAGCCAGAGCTACAAGCGTGCCCAACCCCCAGAGAGTGAGCTCCGCACCCATTAGTTATGAATTTACCCATCCCTTCCACCCCGCTCCCACCTGCCCAGCACCTGATGAATATTACTTCCATGTGTGCACCCAAGTGTTGATCAATTAGTACCAATTTGATGGTGAATACATGTGGTGCTTGTTTATCCATTCTTGTGATACTTCACTTCGAAGTATGGGCTCTAGCTCCAACCAGGATAATACAAGACGTGCTAGTTAACCATGTTTAAAAAATAATATATTAATTATGGTTCTGGTTACATAACCATGCACATTTGACCAAATCCTTAGAAATATACACTAAAAGCATGGACCTTACTTTTGGTAAATTACACCTTAATTAGAAGATAAAAAAGCACACTAAGCAACACAAAAGCATGTGTGCGTACTCAACATATCCAGCTAAATACTCCACAGGCAGTTTAATTGCTTCTTTCATAGGGAAGTGGCATGAGGAACTATAGATGCATTCATGTAGGGTGTTCCCTTGAGGGCTTCATGTCTCTATAAACCCCTCCTGATTCCCTTGCATTAGCCTCTGAAATCCCGAGGCTCCATGATATCACTTTAAGAGACAAGAGTATGTACTGGGCCACTTTATTTTGCTGAATGCGTATAGTTGTCAGTACCTGCAGGCCTTCTTCAGACCTGAGATTTCCTAAGTCTGCAACCAGGGCCAAGGAAATCATTTCAAGATTAAAATTATATTGAATGGCCTTAAAATGATAACCCCTTATCCAAGTGAATTTATAGACCTTCCCTTCACTGCTATTTACAGATACAATTCTGTGAATTATGTAGGAGAGATAATTTTATTGTGTTTATTTTATAAATAGAAAGGAAGTAAGTGGTCCCTCCAAGTAAGACTTAATGGTGGATTCGGAACTTGAACCCAGGGGCTTAGATGCATGGTAGTGTTTTTTCCTCCATTTTTCCTTGCCTTAAAGAGCTTGGAGCCTTTTTACTACTACCTGTGAGAGTCTCTAAGAGCATTTATGCCCTATTCCATGACTGCATTTCTGATTTGAGAATCACTATTCAAGATTCTGTTCCAGCAGCAAGGTAAGTGTCTGTATTCCATACATACTTTTAGTAAATAGGGTAATTTATGCAAAAGCAGTGGGACAGCTATACATACTATGCTCCTTGAACACAGAAATATATGCTTTAAACGTTTTTGTTTTTTCCAAGACAGTAAGTGGAAGCCGGGGTATAAATGTCAAAACTTCCATTAATAGGGAGTTTAGTGATACTTCTGAAGTATCATACTGCTTCCCTAAAGAAGATGAACAAAAATTAAGATAGATGATGCTCTGATTGAGTAGGTGGTAATTTTATCTCATTCACTATCAGTTAGCCTCCCACTGGAGGTTAAACTAACTAACTAACTAAGAAACAAACAAAAATAGGAGATACGTGAATTGACAGTTCTTTAAACTACAAAAAGAATGAAATGGATTGACAAGAACCAAACCGCATTTTAACATTTTCCCAATAATCTCATAATTATTATTAGCACATCTAAACATACAGATAGTGAGGTGGCTAAAAGTACAGATTTTGATTAGGATGAAACTGGGTTTCAATCTTAAATCTTGAATATTCTTCATACTAGTCGTGTAATTGTAGAATATCACATAACTTTTCAAATCTTGAATTCCCTTAATGCTAAAACAAAAATAATAGTATTAACACTTACCATGCAAATACACAACAAACACACCCATACACATATTTATATGAAAAGCTTTTAGAATTAGTTGTAGAACAAAATATATCCTAAAAGTGGTTATGTATGTTAAGATTGGCAACCATATTACTTACGGTTGCTGTAATACTTACAAGCTAACTTATAAGCTGCAGTGTGGGAAAACGGTAGGCAATAGTAGTTAGCAGAATATAAATGCCCTTTTTAATTTAATACACTGTTTCTATTCAAGAACTGATTCAAATAATAATTTTACAGCATAGAGCCTACCACCAAACAGATCTGCACACTAAACATAACCCACAAATCATGCATTTTAAACTCTAAATATCTGTATTCAACTGAGGGATGACAATAATAAGGGAAAGAATGAGTTTAAGAAAAGAAGACTCTTTCAAGTCAAGCTACAGTATCAATTTCAAGGAAGAAATTAAACAAAAGAATGGCTCACGTGGAATAGCCAGAGAAGCGAATCATATGGGTGGAATATAGAATTACTGGAGGGCACAGAAAATCTCAAATATCCTAGTGTATGAGAAAAGACAGATTGAAGAGCGAGACTATATAACTTCAAAATTTACCCAAACATGAAGCCCTGCATGCTGCCAATCCCCTTTATCAAACTAACACAGAGACCATGATTCTATCCCAGTAATACTACCATAATTAGCACTCATTGGAATTTTCTCCATGGTTTTTAAAATAATTTTCAAAATAATACCCTTAGGCAGGTTTCATTAATATTTTCATTTTTCAGATAGAATAAATGAGGTTCAGGGAAGTAAAGTTGGGACCAAGACTGCCTAGGTAGTAAATGGTAGGGCTGATATACACCTTTCCCCAGAGCCCAAGCTCTGTACCAGATGCTCTGTCTTCCCCTCAGAACTTCCTCTGCTGGGTTGTACATGCCCCTACTGCCCCAGTTACCCTAAGACATCTGATGTACATGTATCTCTCAGTTTCTTCACTGTGAAACCTCAGTCACTGACTTTGTACCAATGAAGATAATGAGTAATTATAAATTGCTTCCAATTCAATTTGATTTAGATCCAATTAAGACCATTGGACTTGAGAATCTGTCTCTTGGGCTCAAAGATTGGCTTGACAATTAATACCTGTGTAAATATAAACAAATTACTTAATCTTATGTGCCTCATAATATAAATAAATGTAATAACTAACCAACCTCAGTTAATAGCATTGAAAGGAATCAATAAATATACATGTAAATTCTCTAGAACAGTTCCTGGTATGTGAGTAACATGGAAGAATAAACTTTTTCTAGACTAGGGAAAACTGAATTAACAGATAAATTCATTCCACATAAGTCATCTTGAGCAAGTCATTAAATATTTTACATATCAGTTTATAAATTTATAAAATTAAAAATTGGAAGATTATTCATAAAGAAACTTTAAATTCAATAGATTATAACTCTAGACAATTAATGCACTAAATATTGTTGTCAAGCCTATGCTTTAGATCTATAGAATTCGTAAAGTAAAATTTTTTGCTATAATTAAATAATGCACATTGTATGTTTCTAAATCTCTTTTTTGTTTATCACTCTAATCCTTTATATCTCCTTGCTAAAGGACATCTCCTTATTCACAATGACGCTGATGGAGAATTGTACAGAAGTGACACAGTTCATTCTTCTAGGATTAACCAACGCCCCGGAACTCCAGGTCCTCCTCTTTATATTACTCACTGTCATTTACCTCGTAACTCTGACTGGAAACCTGGGGATGACAGTGGTGATCCTGTTGGATTCTCGTCTCCACACTCCCATGTACATTTTCCTCAGTAGCTTGTCTCTGGCGGACTTTGGATACTCCTCAGCTGTCACTCCCAAGGTCATGGCTGGGCTCCTCATAGGAGACAAGGTCATCTCCTACAATGCATGTGCTACTCAAATGTTCTTTTTTGTAGCTTTTGCCACTGTGGAAAATTACTTGTTGGCGTCAATGGCCTATGACCGCTACGCGGCAGTGTGTAAACCACTACATTACACCACCACCATGACGACGAGTATGTGTGCTCATCTGGCCATAGGCTCCTACATCTGTGGTTTCCTAAACGCCTCCTTCCACATTGGGGACATATTCAGTCTCACTTTCTGTAAGTCCAGCCTGATCCATCACTTTTTCTGTGATGTTCCAGCACTCATGGCTCTGTCTTGCTCTGATAAACACATTAGTGAGGTGGTTCTGGTTTTTATGTCAAGCTTCAATGTTGTTTTTGCTCTGCTGGTTATTTTGATCTCCTACATGTTTGTATTTATCACCATCTTAAAGATACACTCATCTCAGGGACACCAGAAGGCTTTGTCCACCTGTGCTTCTCACCTCACTGCAGTCTGCATCTTCTATGGGACAGTCATCTTCATGTACTTGCAGCCCAGCTCCAGTCATTCCATGGACACAGATAAAATGGCATCTGTGTTCTATGCTATGGTCATCCCCATGCTAAACCCTGTGGTCTACAGCTTGAGAAACAAAGAAGTCAAGAATGCATTCAAGAAAGCTGTTGAGAAGGCAAAACTTTCTCTATGATTGGGATTTTAACATTGCAGTATACACAATAATGTTTCATTCATCTCATATCTTCTTCATGAAATGAGTTACTAATACATTTAAAAACCTACAACGCATTTAAATTCCTGAGGTGATATTCTTACCTCTTCAGAAGTCCATTGTCTAGTAAGAAAATATTCTCAGAAATGTAATGCCTGAATGAAGAAGGCTTAAGGGAATTATTAGAAGTTTTACGACTTGCTTGTCAAACCTTGATAATGACATTTCATTTATCACTTGTTCCACTTACATTTTCCCTCCCACTTTCTAATGCAAACGTACATTTAAACAGGAACATAAACAAGCTCATGAACAAAAGTACATGTATATAACCTTTCTGGGCACATAGATATTACACTGAAAACCTTGTCATGGGTAAATGGAGTGTGGCTAGTTCTTAATTTAAGTAATTTAAATAATTAATTCAGTATTATAGTATAAATTTACTTTTATTTTGATTTTTGAATAGAATATTTTTAGAGCAGTTTTAGTTTAACAGTAAAATTGAGAGGAAGGTAAGAAATTTCTCATACACATTTTGCCCCCACATACTCATAGCCTCCCCCATTGTCAATATCTCCACTACAGTGGTACATTTGTTGCAAAGGATGAACCTATAACGACGTATCATTATCACCCCAAGATCATAGTTTACCTTAGGATTCACTCTTGGTGTTGTAAATTCTATGGCCTTGGACAAATGTATGATGACATGTGTCCATCATTATAGTATCGTACAGGGTGCTTCCACTGCCCTAAAAATCCTCTGTGCTCAGCCTATTCGTTACTTCTTTTCCTCAACCCCTGAAAACTACTGATCTTTTTCTGTCTCTGTAGTGTTGTCATATAGTTGAAATCATACAGTACATAGCCTTTTCTTTTTGGTTTCTTTCATTTGGTAATACACATTGTTTTCTACATGTATTTTCATGGCTTTATAGCTCATATCTTTGTAACACTGAATAATATTCTAATGTCTGGGAACATCACACTTTATCCATTTACTTACTGAAGGATATTTTGATTGCTTCCAAGTTTTAGCAATTATGAATAAAGCTTCTATAAACATCCATGGCTTACCTATTTTTTCTCCAACTTCACCGAATATTCTTCAGGTTTTCACTATGGGTTTTTATCCTACTTTCATACTGTGAATGTGGATAAAAATGCTCCATCGTGGTTGCTTCTGTTTTTATGGTTTTATTGAATTTTTCACTGACATCTCAAAAACAACATGTACAAAACTAAACTTTTGGTTTTATTCCCCAAATTTAGATTCTGATTGTATGTGTAGTAAATCTTCTATGGCCTACAAGAGGTGCATGACCTCTCTTCCACCACCTCTCTCATCATTTTCTACCAAAGTTCTCATACCCATTCTGTGGTATTTTGTTTGACACGTATGACTACATGTTCATCACACAGGTCATCCCGGGATGGGGAGGGCTCCTTCCATGTGATCGTTGAAAGACACAAGCTAATGAAACTTCACCATCCATAGCTGCACCAGCTGTAACATTAAGCCTCCTCGGTTTTCATGGCAGGAGGAGAGACAACTGAAATGTGGTACATGTGCTTCAACCTACCCAAATGGCACATATTCATTCTTCCCACAGTTTGTTGACTAGAGTTAGTATATGTGTCTGCTGAGCTACAATGGAACTGCCACATGTGGGAAAGTAGATGGAAAGTTTGAGCAATATTTTTATAGCCCGTGCCACATCAAGGTTGTCAAATGATAAAATAGTTCTATGGAATACATGATATGTGCTGGAAATTATATATACATCATCTGATAATCTTAATCCTATAAGGATGACAGCATATTGTTTTCTCCCTCATACAGAGTTTTAAGTTTGAAGGGATTAAATAAGTTAGCTGAATTTGAGGCCAGGTCATCTGAGTGCACAGAACAAATTTGTAACCACTATACATGCCTCGCTGAGCACGCTGTGCTAAGTCTCCTTGGGAGTGTGAATTCAGAGGTGATTGTGAAATACACACTAAAAGTGTGTACCTTACTGTTGGTAAATGATACATTAATTAGAAGATTAAAAAAACAACAACAAGCAACACAAAAGCATGTGTGCATACCCAACATATCCAGCTAAATTCCCCACAGACAGTTTAATTGCTTCTTTCACAGGGAAATGGGATGAGGAGCTATAGATGCCCTCATGCGGGGTGTCCCCTGTGGGCTTCATGTCTCTATAAACCTCTCCTGATTCCCTTGCATTAGCCTCTGAAATCCCGAGGCTCCGTGATATCACCTTAAGAGACAAGAGTATGTACTGGGCCACTTTATTTTGCTGAATGCATATAGTTGTCAGTACCTGCAGGCCTTCTCCAGTCCTGAGATTTGCTAAGTCTGCAACCAGGGCCAAGGAAATCACTTCAAAATTAGAATTATATCAAATGACCTTAAAATGACAACCCCTTATCCAATTGATTTTATAGACCTTCCCTTAGCTTCTATTGACAGATGCAATTCTGTGAATTACGTAGGAGAGGTGATTTTACTGTGTTTATTTTATAAATAAAAAGGAGGTAAGTGGCTCCTCCAAGTAAGACCTAATGGTGGATTCAGAACTTGAACCCAGAGGCTTAGATGCATGGTAGTGTTTTTTCCTCCATCTTTCCTTGTCTTAAAGGGCTTGGAACATTTTTACTACTACCTTCGTGAGTGTCCCTAAGAGCATTTATGCCTTATTCCATGACTGCATTTCTGATTTGAGAATCACTATTTAGGATTGACTATCCCTTCTTTTCCAGCAGCAAGGTAAGTGTCTGTATTCCATATATACTTTTAGTAAATAGGGTAATTCATGCAAAATAAGTAGGACAGCTGTACATACTATGCTCCTTGAGCACAGGAATATATGCTTTAAACATTTTTTTTTTCTAAAACAGTAAGTTGAACTGGGGTATAAATGTCAAAACTTCCATTAATAGGGAGTTTAGTGATACTTCTGAAATATCATACTGCTTCCCTAAAGAAGATGAACAAAAATTAAGACAAATGATGCTCTGATTAAGTGGATGGTAATTTTGTCTTACTAGCAGTTAGCCTCCCACTGGAGGTAAAACTAACTAACTAACTAACTAACTAACAAACAAAAATAGCAGATGTGTGAATTGGCAGTTCTTTAAACTACAAAAAGAATGAAATGAATTGATAAGAACCAAACCGCATTTTAACATTTTCCCAATAATCTCATCCTTATTTTTAGTAGCACATTTAAACATACTGATAGTGATAGTGAGGTGGCTAAAAGCACAAATTCTGATTAGGTTGAAACTGCATTTCGATCTTAAATCTTGAATATTCTTCATATTAGCTGTGTAATTATAGAGTATCACATAACTTTTCAAATCTTGAATTCCCATAATGGTAAAACAAAAATAATAATAATAACACCTACCATACAAATACACAACACACACACATACACGCATTTATACGAAAACCTTTTAGCATTATTTGTAGAACATAATATATCCTAAAAGTGATTATGTACGTTAAGGTTGGCAAACAATACTTTCATGGGCTAAGCTTATAAGCTGCAATGTGGAAAGACGGTAGGCAATAGTCGTTAGCAGAATATAAATGCCCTTTTTAATTTAATACACTGTT